ATAAAGAGGAGAGAGAAAATGAGAAAATATAAATGAAATGTTTATGTTTAGATTGAGCTGTCATTTGGTGTGATACCTTGATTGCATGACTCTGGACTCGATATTTAAAAAAAATAGTTCCACTTTATTCAAAGTATTCTTTCTGCTCTCAGTTATTTAAATCGCAACATATACGTTTATGTTAATCGTTTGGCTTAAGTGACTGATAATCAATAGGTAGCCAGAGGGGTGACGCAAATCCAGCTAGGGTACCATGCATGTAACGGAAGTACCGTAATTCCCATGGTTCCTAGTATGGGGACTTAACTTTGTCTTGTTTTTATCTGCTTGTCCGTCCGTCCGTCTGTAATATTTCTTGCTTCTAAAACAATAGGAACTCATCCACGAAATTTTGCACACACAGAACAGGTTTTCATCTGGTGCCTTTTGCTATTTAGAGATTTTTGTTATTTGTTACATTTCCTGTTACATGGCAACAGGTTTAACTTTGCCTCTGTTAATAGCAGTTTCCTTGTCAAGATCCTATCTCATACACACACTGATCTTGTTGTCAGCCGGTATCTTGCCTTTTGATATCTTGGGATTTGGGGACATTCAGTTAAAACGTAATTACAGAGAACATACATACACCATATCTACACAAATCTGCCTCAGTATACCTCACAAACTGGCACTCTAGAAACCTAATAGTCTGACCACAAGATTGTTTGGATGGCTATTCAGCAGAAAAGGAAATGTTTCGTGTAAACATTTATTCTCGTATAACCTTCAAAGATAATATTCCATGTTTCATCTGAAATATGAGCTTTGCAATACATTATATCATAAGCCATCTACGTATATCATTTCTGACATCCATTTGATCATCTTAACACTATAAAACCTGACATACAAATACAAAAAGTTCCTTCTCCATATTTTTGTTTTTGATAGACCCGTGAAGATCCGGGTTAGAATGAACCTTCAGTAACCTATGCTTGTCGTAAGAGGCGATAAACGGGTTCGAGTGGTCAGGCTCGCTGGCTTGGTTGACACATGTCATCGGTTCCCAACTGCGCAGATCGATGCTTATGCTGTTGATCACAGGATTGTCTGGTCCAGACTCCATTATTTACAGACCGCTGCAATATAGCTGGAATATTGCAGAGTGCGGCGTAAAACTAAACTCACTCACTCACGCACTGTTTTCGATAGCTCAGTAACCTGTATACAGACAGATGGATACATATATTCTCTTGAAGTTGGACACATGACTTTTGTAGGTCTTGATGATTACCTCTTTAAAATGGTGATGACTCTTGTTAAATGTACCGTTAGGAATAGTCACATCTTCAGGTTAGACACTAGTTTCGACTTATGTATATATCTGATACTTTGGTTAGTTTACTGTCCTTTGTTGACAGGTTTAATATATTCTGAGTTAGGTTTTATTACTTGCTAATATAGTTGTTACAGTCACAACATGTCTAAAATGTTACCAACGGGACTTTAAATTTGAACTCATTCATTCGCTTAGATAGTAGCCATCCTTCCTGACTTACATAGCTGCTTACATTGAGAATGTAGATACTTCTAGCGCTTGCTAGTTGTGAATGGAATGCATGCCATGTGCGAGATAGAATACAACCAGTTAGTTTTATCTGTTTGGTGTTGTCGGAGAAGATTATCTACCAAAATGTATCTTTCCTTGTGTGAATCACATACACTAAACGCCAAAAGAAACGTTACCCTCCTTCCTTAATGACGGAGGCACCTATCTTCAGCTGGCGTTGTGATGCGTGGACGTCCACTTCTTGGTCTGTCTACGGTGACCCCAGTCTGTCTGAAGCCCTGAATAAGTCTTAAAACCGTGATAAGGTGGCATCCGAGGGCGTTGGCAACAACATTGTACGTCGACCCCACTTGCACCATCCCAATGGCTCTTTCTCTCTCTCCAGCTGTTAATCGTGGCATATTTCCCGTACTTGTGTATCATATCGTGTATTCTAGGCTTCTCTTCTATAGAATCATTCTACATGTGAAATGGATGCAAATACTGCTTGAGTATTGCTGCGTTTTGGCGATTGATATTGCTATGTGTAAACAGAAAATGGAAAAATGTTACTTTGAAAGCAAAAATGTTAACAAAGATAATTTTAGATGTTTCAAAACATTTTTTCACAATATCAAAGACACGTTTTCCTTGTTTTCATTAATGCAAATCAGCAGAAAATGTTTTAATAGACTTAAATCATAGGAATGATTATTTTACAGTTTTACACACTCTACAACAGCTGTTTCTTGTTTTAATAGCTAAAAAAATGGTTACTTTAAATGGTTTATAATTGTCTCAAAGCAGAATTTTATTTCAACCTTTCTTTTGGACATCAAAATCACTGTTATTAGTTTATTTCGGCAAGGAGGAATAAAGGACAATTTAACTCTTCTGAAAAAGATGCATTTCACCTAAATATGAATGCATTTGAGAATTTTTTTTCGTGATTTGCATAAAGCTGTGTTGTTAAGCTTTCTTGTAAACTAATACCTTCTAACCTATCTTTGATAGTTTTTCAGTAATTCATAACGGAAGGAGGGTTACGTTTCTTTTGGCGTTAGTGTACTTACAAACTAGAGCCCCTGTAACATGAGTGTGTGAGTGAGTGAGCATGGTTTTACGCCTCTTTTAGCAATATTCCAGTAACATAACGGCAGCAATGAGCTTCCACTCATTGTACCCATGTTGGTAATCGAACCCGGGTCTTCAGCGTGACGAGCGAACGCTTTAACCACTAGGCTACACCACCGCCACCCCTGTAACAAGAAGTTGACCCTGAATCTTGATGTCGTGGTCATGACCCTCGTCAGTTTTCATCTTGTTTTACTTACAGTCTACGTCAAGTGCAAATGTCTGACAGTGTATGGATCCGTTATTTCAACATGCCCGTTTCTCACTTATGATACACTTTAGCATTAGGTTTAGAGCCCAAGAAACGAAACTTTGTGTTGGTGAGGTGAGGTGAGGTGAGGTGAGGTGAAATTGGGTTTTACGTCGTGCTTGAGAATATTTCGCTCATATGATGACGTGCATGCGTGTGTATGTGTATGTGCGGCTGCTTGTACTAGCCCAGACTGAAGCTGGTTTTATAGCGCTAGCCCACTGAGATACCATGCAGCAGTAAAGCATGAATACCCCACTCAGACACATTATACTGACTCCGAGCCGACCAGTCCTTGTTGTACCCATTAATGCCGAGCGCCAAGCAGGGACCAACAAGTACCATATTTTAACTTCTTTTGGTATGACGCGGTCGGGGATCGAACCCGCGACCTTCCGCTCTCCGGGCGGACGCTCTAACCACTACACCACGGCGGCGGTCGTGGACATGAACACTTAAGTTTGTTCTCTGTGTATGATCGTTTGGCAACCTCCTCACTCCACTTGACCAGATAAAAACGATTTCTCAAATAATACTGAATTTGTAAATTTGGTTTTGATTTGCCTTTGTCCCTTCATTATCTCATAAAAATGAGAAGCAGTGGTTCTACTGAGCCTTGTCTGAAAACACATGACATCTCCTCTCAGTTTTCTTGTCTCCTGCTGTAAATCAACATCTTCCTCCTGGGTAATTGGTGTCAAAACCAACAGTGAATTCTTCCTCAACATCCAGTGGAGTGTCAGGTGGGAACGGCTGTAACACCTCGTGCAGACACAACTGCCGGCGTCTTTTTTATTATTAATTTTTTATCTTGTACCTGTCGACATGAATTTATTTTAACAGACACTTAAATATGATTAGAGAATATTGGATTATTATGATAGGCTCAAATTGTCAGGAAACAAATGAATGTTGGTTAAGGTTAATATTGTATGTAAATGTAATGTACATTGAGTACAAGTGGGTTTTTCTTGTACAATGTGTCAGAAAGTCACTAAAGGGCACGCAAACATTACTTCCATTATCAGGCATGTTTTGTTATTTAAAATGTTCAGTACTTAGAGGCTAAAATATTGACTTAAGAATTATAAAATCATAATATAAAAATGTGGTTTTATCATTTTTTAACAAACGTTGTAGTAGACAGAGGACAACACATTTGTTCAGATTGATTTTGGATGATAGGTCGGGTGGTTCATCCATGACCACGCCAACAGCAAGGTGCTGACTTTATCTGAGACCTTCTTGGTTCCTGCAACTGCTGCGGTTGCCTTGTAGCTGACACATCTGCTGGCACCTCATGAAGGCCAATCTTCTTGAAGTGAGAAATGGTTTTAGCAAGCCCAATCACATGTGCACAAGTTCCTGACGCCCTCATGAAATATAACAGATTGCCGTGTCAGTGCCATTGAAATTGTGACAGAGAAGAGGAATACCTTTCTGCATTTGTTATATTAACAATGTATCATTTGTTTCATTGGATGATTCCGCTACCGTACACCCACATTGTTCATGTTCTCTAACATATTCCTGGATGCCATTTACATGGGCAATTTCTGTCATCTCTGTCCTAACAATTTCCTAGAATGTCTTTTAAAAGATGTGCTAAAGATGGTATGATAAAGAGGACATTATGTTAAAGATGGTAAAAATTATAAAACTGTCCTTGTTCTTTGTCTTTATATCGATATACCGATTTGTCAGAGACCCCTGAACCACTGCCATCATAGATCTCCGTGTTCAGGATATGGCCCCAGCTACCATCTGATGATCACACTGAGCCGTTCAGTGCGACACGTTCATTTCGACCTTGGTACACACGCTGTCTTCCCTCTCGTCATTTGGGAAGAAATCGTGATTCACCTCTTAACCATACTCGTCTCCAGTTTCTCACAATCATTGGACGTAGCTGCTCCATTGCGTATGCTATTGTCAATGTCGATGTCTTCTTGGTCAAATTTCCACCTCTTGCAGACAATTCTTGATTGTTTGGCCCGATACCCTTCTCAGACAGGCACATGCCTTGACGTTTCAGTGGCAGCAGCCTATCGATGACGCAGATGAAAGAAACGGATGTCGTGATCTTTTATAGGACTGGTGACTCTTGGTCTACCACTTGGGGTATACCGATCCCTTAAACGTTATGTATGTTGAAATAGCGTGCAGGTACTGATGTGGAGTCTTCAACTTCAAGAACACCCTGAGGCGATGTTGCAATTGGCATCATTCAGACTCTGCATTTTCCCACTTCAGATACGTCGACAAAGGTTTAATGGAATGTTGACTGACGTTTGACCTTTCATTGTCGCTGCAGTTGATGGTCAAAACATTCTCGCACATTATGGTTTTAATTTCCTGTCCATGAATATTTTGTGCAGGAATGAAAGGATAGCGTTTGTGCAAATATGTGGCTGACATTGTTCAATAATAATACTGCATTTGTATTGAATATTTCATGAACGAACCAAATCAATATTCTGCTCATCTCTGTCGCTTTCCTTTTTGGAGAGTTTACATTTATAGGTTATAGAGCCAACTGATTAAACTTGAAGTTGGAATTGACTACATTTAATTTTATTTTAATAGACAGAAAAAATGAAATTAAAGTTAAATCATTATTCAGCGCAATACCGGCTCTGAGACCGTTTTAGAAATGATTAACATACACGAAAAAGTACCAGATATTGCGAAGTCCTCATTACAGCCAAAACACTTATGAAAATATCATGAAGATTAATTTTTTTCTTTAGCCTGTGTTTGCTTCTTAACATGCACCCGTGAAGGTCCGGGTTAGAATGAGCCTTCAGTAACCCATGCTTGTCGTAAGAGGCGACTAACGGGATCGGGTGGTCAGGCTCGCTGGCTTGGTTGACACATGTCATCGGTTCCCAATTACGCAGATCGATGATCATGCTGTTGATCAATGGATTGTCTGGTCCAGACTCGATTATTTACAGACGCCGCCATAAAGCTGGATTATTGCTGAGTGTGGCGTAAAACTAAACTCACTCACTCTTAACATGCAAATACGTACATTGAAAGCATCCCCCATGTAGATGTATTAGCTTAACTTCCACTCGTTTTACCCGGACTTTGACGATTCTTGGTTGAAAGCAAACTTATGAAGAAATAATACATTCAGATTAATGCTTTTTCCCTTTATGTTTATAGTTTCTGTGGTGGTCATCTTTACCGAATATTATGTGAAACAGAACGAGATGAAGCGATGAAGGAATCTGAATGAAGCGGACATAACTATTTTACATGAGATAGTCTTTACAGAGTGAGCTCCCCTGTTTCCAGTCATTGGCTCACCATGGATAAATCTTGAGCCCTTCGCATGTTAAGTATACTACTTGTTTAAAACTGTCCGTGGTGTTTTGCACAAAGATACTACTGACGCATACTAAATGGACGATTTCAGTATAATTCAATGATACAATTGAATACACAATTTTACGATTCCAAAATATATTTCTTCGAGAGAAGCGTAATTGCGATGTGTCCATGGATAATCACAGCAATATGATTATCGATGACAAATTTCGTTGCAACAAGGTGAAAATTCATAATGATGGTGGTTAGGTGACCATGACTGAACCCGTGAAGACCCGGGGTGGATTTCGTCTTTAGTAACCCATGAAGTCTCTGTGTGTGCGTGCGTGCACGCGCCTAGTTGTTAAAGCGTTGGCTCGTCACGCCGAAGACGCGGGTTCGATTCCCCACATGGGTACAATGTGTGAAGCCCATTTCCGGTGTCCCCGCCGTGATATTGCTGGAATATTGCGGCGTAAAACCATACTCACTCAGTCCTAAGAGGCGACTAATGGGATGAGTTGGTCAGGCTCTCTGAAATGGCTGACACATGTATCTGCGTAGATCGATACTGATAATGTCAATCACTGGATGCCTGGTCCAGACTTGATTATTAACAGACAACTGTTTTACAACTGGAATATTGCAGAGGGTGGCGTGAAACGACAAACAAACAAACATGACTGAACGAGATGTCAATAGCATTATCGGACTTGAAATTTCGATACGACCAAATAGCATCTGATCGAGACATAGGGTCGTCGCTATGAGAGACATCAGAACGTGACCTGGAGATATCTTATGTTGCCCACGAGAGATCAGAACATGACTGGGAGATAACATATCTCACCACGAGAGATCAGAACGTAACCAGGAGATATACATATCTCACTACGAGAGATTAGACGGTGACTGGGAGATGGCATATGTTGCCCACGAGAGATCAGAACATGACTGGTAGATATACATATCTCACCACGAGAAATCAAGAACATAACCAGGAGATATACATATCTCACCACGAGAGATTAGAACGTGACCAGGAGATAGCGTATCTTCCACGATATCAAAACGTGACTTGCAATTGGAGATAACATATCGGAATCAGGAAAGATCAGAACGTGCCATTAAGATAACATATCGCGGCCACGCGAGATCCGAACATAGGCTAAAGACAACATCGCATAAAAGAGAGAGATCAGACTTAAGTTACAGTTTAGTTGACATAACAGGCCGTGGTCTTCAAATTTTAATTCTTGGTCCAGCTAGTGACACAGCGGATCGATTGTGGAGTGGAAGGTGCTTAAAATATATCCACATTCAGCACATTTGAGAATATTCCCGAGTATATTTAATCTTTATTACACCATGCTTCGAGCGGATTGAACATGGGATTGTGTGGCATTATAACACGTTGTCAACCACTGATGTATATTTGGAAGTCTGGCTGTAACGCTGAAAACAAATTCATTCTCGCCTGACACAATACATTAATTTAAAGCGGTGTAAAATCCCTCTTTGGTAAATGAAAAATAGGCTGATGAAGTACTTGTAAAATCTCCCACATACTTCTGCTCTTCAGGATGACTAATGCTGCTTTCGTGAAGAATGGTTCTTCATGTATTGTTTGTGAGGATGAAAATAAAAAAATGCATTACCCTATGAAAATGTGACTAAGTCAGCACTCTGTGGAAGTAAATACATGGAAAGATATTTACTAAAGAAACAAATCGTCACTGAGCATCGATGCCTCTTATACGTAGATTAAAGCAGATTTAACCTCAACGATTTACGAAAAGCCCCTTGAGCTTTAAGGTCAAATACATCACGTTACACTTTAGGAATTATTCACTACCCAGAACTAGAAACGTGAAACTACAACCGTTGTGCTACCGGTAATACAACTTGTTTGAAATATGCTCTGTAACATGAGTCGGCCTGTAGTGGCGCGATTCCTTATCTTGTGTACTGAACAGGTAACAAGATTTCAACCTGAAAATAGTAATCCCCACACAAGATGTAACAATCTCTACTTTTGTTTTGAGAAGGATTGGTTGGTTTGTTGTTTAACGCCGCGCTCAGCAATATTCAAGCAATATGGCGGAGGTCTGTAAATAATCGAGTCTGGACCAGACAATCCAGTGATCAGCATCATGAGCATCGATCTACGTTATTAAGATAAGATGGCATGTGTCAACCAAGTCAGTGAGCCTGACCACCCGATCCCATATTTAACATATCGCCTCTTCCGACAAGCATGAGTTACTGGAGACCATTTCTAACCCTGATGTTCAGGTTTGAGAAGGAAAAGGAAACTAGAAATAGCCGGGATATCAGTCCCTTGGAGTCTCTTGGTATGTCTGCGTACAGCACAAATGTAACTAAAGGTTATGGGTGTGTACTAAATGTAATGTAAACAAAGCAGATCGCTGTGCAGAGTTGCCTCCCTTGACCGTACCAGAATCCGCTTGTCGTTGTTTCACATCCACCATTCTCACATTCCATAAATTTTGATCCGCCTATAGACATAGTATATAGTTTTGATTTGATTCACAGATTCGTTCTGATAATAACGACGTTTGATGCACCGTGCACTTGTGAATTTCATCAGTTACGTAAACGTGTAAGTCCTGCGCCTGCGTCACTTCAGTCTACCGCTTACATCACGCTGACATGTCAAGATGCAACTGAATTAATGTTCACAGTGGCATTAAACACAACTCACTCAGTGTCTTGACGTTATAGATATGGTGGGGGCGGTGGGGTAGCCTTGTGGTTAAAGCGTTCGCTCGTCACGCCGAAGACTCGGGTTTGATTCCAAACATGGGTACAGTGCATGAAGCCCATTTCTGGTGTCCCCCGCCGTGATATTGCTTGTATATTGCTTAGAGCGGCGTAAAACCATATTCACTCACTCACTTAAATATGGTGCCGTTCGTGTTCTGTTTGTTGAAATAGCAACCCGAGTTGACACACCTGCGTCAATTATACGCAACATAGGTATAGCTTGTGTTGCAATAGCTGTCACCGATGCCCTCTGTCATGGCGTCTTTGTGTAGGAAAAGCGCCCGCCTGCTGAGGTCGACTGAATCTGCCCGGAGTCGACCTGTGTGTGTACCCAGTTGACAGAGAGTAAACGCTAGCATTAGAAGACAAACAATGTGTTATAATAACACCCCTGAGCCAATGTCCTGTCACCTCTCGCTCTCTACCCCAGGGTTAGTGACACCGATATTGAATATTGAACATATAGACACTGCTGTATTGTAACCATATCATTGACGATATTGACACGCTGTCAGTGATAGACCCGGGACTGCACTAATGTCCAAACTGTAGGAATGTCTGTATCATTTGCCTGTTAATTCACGACCCATAAAGCCCACTCCCCCTTCTTCTCACGCTAGGGACCAGGGAGGGAGGGCGGGAGGGTCGGGGATAGAAACAGTGAAGCTGTCACGTATTCTATTCAAGGAAGGTTGAATGGCGCGATTACTAAGAATGACAATGTTTACAAATATATAGGGAGATATAAGTGCGAAGTGTTTCTGTAAAGGAAGCATTATTCTTGGTCACAGAGGATGAGGAATATAGGCCAACATTTTGACCCCAGGATGACCCATGAAATATCAAAGAATGATTTATATTTTGTCACGAAAAGAAACATAGTGTCCACAACGAGGTTCTAAACAAAACCAAAAGGTTTCGACAGGTTCGTATCTTAGGTTAAAGTCTAGGAAATTGTCGTTTCATACAAAAAGTACCCTAAAAGATTGAAATATTTTTGCAAACAATCTTTTGCTACGCCTTTTCACCCCCTGCTGACTGGTCCCAATCTTACGCTACGCCTTGATTCCTGCTGACTGGTCCCAATCTTACGCTACGCCTTGACCCCTGCTGACTGGTCCCAATCTTACGCTACGCCTTGATTCCTGCTGACTCGTCCCAATCTTACGCTACGCCTTGATTCCTGCTCTGACTGGTCCCAATCTTACGCTACGCCTTGATTCCTGCTCTGACTGGTCCCAATCTTACGCTACGCCTTGATTCCTGCTCTGACTGGTCCCAATCTTACGCTACGCCTTGATTCCTGCTGACTGGTCCCAATCTTACGCTACGCCTTGACCCCTGCTGACTGGTCCCAATCTTACGCTACGCCTTGACCCCTGCTGACTGGTCCCAATCTAACGCTACGCCTTGACCCCTGCTCTGACTGGTCCCAATCTTACGCTACGCCTTGATTCCTGCTCTGACTGGTCCCAATCTTACGCTACGCCTTGACTCCTGCTGACTGGTTCCAATCTTACGCCTTGACTTCTGACCCTGCTCTGACTGGTCCCAATCTTACGCTACGCCTTGACTCCTGCTCTGACTGGTCCCAATCTTACGCTACGCCTTGATTCCTGCTCTGACTGGTCCCAATCTTACGCTACGCCTTGACTCCTGCTCTGACTGGTCCCAATCTTACGCTACGCCTTGACCCCTGCTGACCGGTCCCAATCTGACGCTACGCCTTGACCCCTGCTGACTGGTTCCAATCTTACGCTACGCCTTGATTCCTGCTCTGAAAGGTCTCAATCTCACGCTACGTCATTGATTCCTGCCCTGACAGGTCCCAATCTTACGCTACGCCTTGACCCCTGCTCTGACTGGTTCCAATCTTACGCTATGCCTTGATTCCTGCTCTGACCGGTCCCAATCGTACGCTGTGTCTTGAGCCCTGCTCTGACTGGTCCCAATCTTACCCTACGCCTTGGCCTCTGCTCTGACGGGCCTACGTCCTAGAGTTCGCCCTGATTCCTCCTAGGATAATCCGACACTACCCTTATATCACTTCTCTGACAGGCCCTGATCCTACATTACGCATTGATCACTGCTCTGAAGGGCCCGAATGATACAGTAATCCTGGATGCCTGCAATACGCTGACCAGAATGCTATTATACGCCCTGATCTGGCCTTTCAAACGCCCGAATACAAGACTACACCAAGATCTCTGCTCTGAGTGGCCACACTCCTACAATACGCCCTGATCTGACCTTTAAACCGTCCGAATACTAGACTACACCGAGATCTCTGCTCTAACTGGCCACAATCCTACAATACGCCCTGATCTGACCTTTAAACCTTCCGCATACTAGACTACACCAAGATCTCTGCTCTGACTGGGCCCAAACCCTACGCTACGCCGAGATCCCTTCTCTGACCTGCCCAAATCCTTCAGTACGCCTTGATCCCTGTTCAGACGGGGTATCAATCCTACGTTACGGATTGATCCCTGCATTGACAGCGCCCAGTAATACGCTACGCCTTGATCTCTTCTTTGATGCGATCCAGTACGTCTAACTACAGATCTCTGCTCCGGTCGGGTGCAACACTTGCTCGCGTTAGTCCCGCGCCTAGTGACATTTCACACAAACCATCTTGTACCCAAAACACTCACCACCTACACGGCTATTTGAGTCAGGTTGGGCGATATCATTTTCCTCTAGTAATGTAAAATGTGTACAGAAATCAAGTTAATTGGCACCGTGTATAAAGCTATTTTCACGGGGCTGGTTGAAGTCCGTCTTAATATTGTCAACTCGGCGTAAAGAGTACCAAGTGGGCGGAGAGCGATTGTCCGGCCCATTGTCAATCCATTGTCCACCCTCCACGTCCGGTGGTGACCAGAAACCGTCCCTGACACGGGTTTATTTACACGTCTCCGCTAATACCATTTTACCTACCCCCCTTCACGCCGATGACAGTTCTAGCGATGTCTTAACTCCTACAGTGGTAACATAAACTCACAACAAATACCCCACAGTCATTCTACCACAGTCGCCACAGTCGGTTGGTGTACGCGTTGAACCGAACAATCAAACAAAATCGAACACTTGTCAATGCATGTCTAATAATCATACTGTCGTCATCTTATTTCTTATAAGCAATATAATCTCTATCATAAGAGAGCGAGCATAATTTTAAGTCGTTTATAGAAATATTTCAGCAATATCATGGTGGGGGATGCTAGATATTGGCTTTATACTTTGTACCCACGTGGGGAATCGAACCCGGGTCTTCGGTGAACGATTTACCCAGAAGATCGGACTACCCTTCTGTCTTTTATTTTAAAAGAAATGATGAAATATATTATGATACTAATCTACACTTACATAGTTTAAAAGTAACAACACAACACATTTAAACAACAATAAACGTCGAGACAAAAAGAGGTAAATACTTGAAATTTGCATTTAATCACTGGGATTAAAACAATGGAACCTCTGCAATGTTAGGGTGGAATAAACAACCATCACCATCGAATTGCCAATTACTGTATGCATAATTTCAGTCACTATAAGGGGGCGGTGGGGGTAGTAGACTAGTGGTTACAGCGTTCGCTTGTCACGCCGAAGACCCGGGTTCGATTCCTCACATAGGTACAATGTGTGAAGCCCATTTCTGGTGTTCCGCGCAGTGATGTTGTTGGAATGTCGCGAAAAGCTGCGTAAACCCATGCTCACACAAAAAATGGTTGACTTTTTGTCACCTGCCTTTTTTATATAGGTATAATATTCAACATGTTTCGATTGAAGTAATTGTAAAATAACGCGAGCCCATGAATGTTGGCATTTTTGTCTTGTAATTTGATCAAGTGTTTGGCTGTTGATAAATGTTATTTTCAACGACCTTTGCCAGCCTAACGCCCACCATCGCCAGGGCCCTGCAGTGCAGCAACCAGGTCTATGTCGTTATTTTATGCAACAACAAAAACTCGGAAATGTTTAGGGAATTTCCCTAAATAATATCTTTATCTTTTGAAAAGCCGGAAGTCAGAGCAGAAAATGTTGCAGAATTCCTTATGGTATTCACTAAACCTAAACGTATTCGTTCAGCCTGCTGACAAAAAAACGGTGATACTTTACCCAGATACATTCAGTACTATGCTTGATTCGTTGATCGTGAGGGGCGGTGGGGTAGCCTAGTGGGCAATTAAAGCGTTCACTCGTCACGCCGAAGGCCTTGGTTCGATTCCCTACATGGGTACAATGTGTGAAGCCCATTTCTGGTGTCCCCCACCGTGATTTTGCGGGAATATAGCCAAACGCGGCGTAAAACCAAACTCGCTTACTCACTCGTTGATGAAATATGTGTTATGTTGATATAATGTGCCATTCAACGTGATGGTCAAGTCAAATATGCCCACATATTAAGCTTACTATACGGGCTGGGCTCCGTCTAAGCGCAAGCGAGCAAAACATAAAACGCAGTTAAGCACCGGATCTACTGAAGTACAGCCACGTTTTATCGAATACGTGCATGTATTTATTTATGAAAATGAGGTGAGGTGAGGTGAAATTGGGTTTAACGTCGTGCTTGAGAATATTTCGCTCATATGACGACGTGCATGCGTGTGTATGTGTATGTGCGGCTGCTTGTACTAGCCCAGACTGAAGCTGGTTTTATAGTGCTAGCCCACTGAGATACCATGCCGCAGTGAAGCATGAATACCCCACTCAGACACATTATACTGACTCCGAGCCGACCAGTCCTTGTTGTACCCATTAATGCCGAGCGCCAGGCAGGGCCCAACAAGTACCATATTTTTACGTCTTTTTGTATGACGCGGTCGGGGATCGAACCCGCGACCTTCTGCTCTCCGGGCGGACGCTCTAACCACTACACCACGGAGGCGGTCTATTAAAATGAAGTCTCTAGTTTATAAACATTTGAATTTCGTAAGAGTCTGGATGAGTATGAATATAATTGATATGAGTGAAGGTGTTTAGTTTTACTCCGCTTTTAGCAATATTCCAGCAATATCACGGCGGATTATCGATATGACTTAATACGTGTAACAGTTAATTGGATACAAATTAAGCTAACACGTATACCTCACTTAACAAAATATGGATTGTAATTATAGGAATTATACGACCGGGGGAGTACTGAAGGCTATACACACCTCACACGTTCGAGCGGTATTGTCTTAATGTACAAAGCATGTGTAGAACAGCAAGTCTCGTGAAGTTGACATGTGTTTACGATAGTGGCGTAGATACCACTCTGGGTGCCGTTGTACAAAGCGATCTTAGCGCTAAGGTGACCGTAACTCCCATACTTTAACATAGACTTAAGGTAGCCTTAGCGCTAAGGTTGTTTTGAACAACGGCACCCTGAACATTAAACAATATTAATGAAATGGTACAAATATAATGAATATACTGATTGAAACAAATAAAGCAACGTTACTTCATCGCAGTATTCATATTCTAATGTTAGAATTCAGATTTTCACTCATAGTGAAATGCAAAGCTTACTGAGAACCTGGAAAATGTCTATTCCGAAGGATTTCAAGACAAAGGAGTTCTTCTCGCAGTCGTTCGTTGGTATTCCATAATCTTTGGTTAATTTGCTACAAAATTGAAAATGGTCGTTCATGTATTGGTTGGACATTGTTTTGTTTGTTTGTTGCGTTAATTTTATGTTTGAGGATATCCGTATTTGAACATAATGATGAAATGGTTCTACCACCTTTACAATGTGTTATTTCCAGAACGTGGTAAGGATATCTTTCTTATATATTGTAGGACCTGTTTGTGCTTGCTAAATGCTTGAGTCTGTTATATATTTGCTTGCGTTTAATTTCACCGGCTATGCCCCTTAAGACAATTGTGGGGATTCTATAACCCTGGATGTTTAAGTGCGTGGGGGACATTTGTAACTGTTTAAAGGTGGACATGGTGTTGGGGTAGCTGTTGACGCTGACGTTAATGTTGTCGAGTGGGGACAAGCACCCTGTAGTGTTTGCTCTTACTGTGGTCACGTGACGTGACAGGGACAAGGGTCCGATGACACATTCCACGTAGAGGCCGGGCGCGTGAAGATGTCGGCGTCTGTTGAATATACATGGTTTAAACTTCACTAAGGACAATTAGTTCACTACACCTTGAAAACTCAGGAAATCGCTGAGTCGATGTTCCATAAGAATGTGACGGCGACATGTGAAGAATAATGATAGGTCTGCTGTCAGGGTGATGCCTGTTCATATAAGGGGACGGGGGGTTAGCCTAGTGGTTAAAGCGTTCGCTCGTCACGCCAAACACCCGGGCTCGATCACCACATGGGTACAGTGTGTGAAGGCCAATGCTGGTGTCCCCCACCGTGATATTGCTGGAACATCGCTAAAAGTGCCGTTAAAACCAAACTCTGTCACTCACTATTCATTCAGGAACTGACTAAACGTGTTGAAATTAAAGCTTAAAGGCGAGTATAGATTTTAATTTTTCAATAGTTAACAATTTTATTTTGCTGGAAAAAACCCGAGCAAACAAGTCGTATGAGGTGTGGCAATTCATCGATCAGAGTTGCTTCCCTTAGGAGAGTCAGAATCCTGTGAACAAGGCTACCGCCTAATTTATCTTAGACTTTTCTCATACATGAGGCTGACTAGCTAACGGAAATGTCCTTCAATAAAGCATTAAAAAACATGATGAAATATACCAGAGATTTATGATGCAGAATTTTACTCCCTGGATGCAGTCATTTGCATTTTTGTATCAGGATTTGTATTCAAAAAGTGCAAAGAGATATAACATTATTAGTATTTTATATCCATTTAATTAAACATTCTGATTGCCAGGACGTTTTGATAACCCCGGGGTTAATCTATCAGCTCATTACACCGAAGATCCAGGTCCTATTCCCTGTATGAGTTAGAACCTAGTCTTATGTAAAACATGTTATATTTGGGATGACACTTTCTCACTGAAGTAGTACTAGTACTTTTGTTCTAGTACTTTTGTTGGGTTGTCTCATCCGGGATGTGTACCCACACCTTCCGAGTCAGGCACCTAATCGCCAGCACTCAAAGTCAGCCGTCTAACCCACTCAGCCTACGCAGTTCCACAAAAGTAAGTCGGACAACTGGTCGTCTAGACCACGGACTTTGTGTACCCCTCTGATAAGTGTAAAGTGTCTTAGTTTCTTCTATTTACATTTGATGTTGCGTTATGCCCCATCGGTCATATCACTGGTCAGTCGGTCAATAGGATACGAGGGCGGTTGGGTAGCCCAGTAGTTAAAGCGTAAGCTCCTCACGCCGAAGACACGGGTTCGATTCCCCACAAGGGTACAATATGTGAAGACCATTTCTTGTGTCCCCGCCGTGTTATTGTTGGAATATTGCTAAAAGAGTAGTAATCACTTGAGGTTGTGTAATCACTTGAGGTTTTGGTTTAATGCACAAAGTAACTCATTGTTGCAAAGGATAGGGTGGTTAGGGTAGGTGTCTTGGCAAAATGCCAGTCGTACCCCGGCACGGGACGACGCTCATCCCATCAACCACTGGTTTGTCCATTCCACACGTGATTATGACCAAAGCGCATGAAAAACGATAGCGATCAAACATTCATCCGATCTACCAACAGACAGAAATTAGCAATGACGACCTGGACGTGTTAAAGGAAACATAGGCTAAGATATGATGCCTCATGTACGTTACGTGTACAATATATATCGGGGAACCCGGGCCAGCAATAGCTATCAGAATGACCCTGAGCAATTCCGCGTGGGCCGCCTCCAGTACATAAAACATGCAATGAATTCAACAACACCCTTTCTTTGAGCATGTGATAGTGTCGAGCAGACCAGTAGCTCATGATTCCCCGGAGTTGGGTGTGGGACATGCCTGCCGCATTCCTCGATAAGTGCTCACCTATATTAGCTTAAACCTATGACCTGGCACCGGAAGTTATGCATGGAGAATCCCCTTATATACAAACACATGCAGACAACATGCATTGTATCTATACGCTTCCGTGGCACAAGAAGATTCTGAAGAATTTTTATCCTTTTGGAAAAATGACAAGACAACTTCCGGTCTTGATGGCTACAGTCACGAAAATCAACATTTCCACGTACTCCATGTTCTGAAGATCCTGAACTCCAAACAGTGCTGTTATGTAACATGGACTCGCTTGGTCAGACTCTCATACACACCGCCGTTGTTCATCTCCGTGCTCTTATCATCAGTTCGCATATTTTACGTGACATATGCGGCTCATGTTCTCGGTAAATGTCGTCTCTTTCCGCAGCTTGCCGAAGACAAGGAAGTGTTGTGTGTGCGTGGAAAATACGGAAGCGACTTCGTGAGGATTTACCAGCACCAAGGCAGATGTTTGACACTTAAGCGCAACAATTAGTACACGACAGATAGTACATCATTCTAAATCATTCAGAATATTAATTATATAACTGTGAGGTCATCTGTTTAATAGTAAATCATAAAGAAACAGATGTCTCCTTCGTTGTGACAAATGATATTCGGCGTAAAACAACATTCAGTCATTCACTATCTCCTCAAATACAAAACAGCTACTTCAGAAAACAAAATATATCGCGTCATTGATCAATACTCAACAGTAAGTATCCAAATTGTTAAAAGAAAACAAATTCGTTCATAAAATACTGTTGTCTTTTCTAGATCGATACAATCCATTGAACAAGAGTACCAAACTCTTTATGATCAGCGGCCTAGTGGTGAAGGCGCTCGCCCGTCACGCCGAAGACCGGGGTTCGATTCCCCACATGGACACAATGTATGAAGCCCATTTCTGGTGTCCCCCGTCGTGATATTACTGGAATATTGGTAAAGGGGGCGTAAAACTCGTTCGCTCACTTTAAGATCGGATCTTTATCCCGATATGGAGGTCGTATCGGAGGTCGTATCGGGTGAACTTTGTAATCAACCAATCAGCTTCTAAGTACTCGTTGCAAGTGAATGAATCTGACAAGCATATCTAATTTCAAACGGGAGGAAATCAATAGAATTGTGGAATTCCGACGGCCAAAAAGTAAAGCCTCACCATTAACTGCATGTGGATATGTTACCCACCCTGTTGTCCTGACCGACATAGTATTTACACCCACGATTGATTGAGGATTAGTGTCCTGAGTGGTTTTCCAAATCGAGGCGGTAACGAAGCCGAATCGTTTTAGAAAGCTGACACCTGATTGGCTCAAGAACTCACGCATCGTTCATTTACAGTTCGCTTGGGGTTCATCTGACCTTCTTTGAGGGTGTCCTGAGATTTGAAGAGAGAGGTGGCGTATCGACAGAGTAAAAAGTCTAATATAATGGGATTGTTAATATGTTACTCGCATTATATAAGGTTATGCGTTAACTAGGTGTTACCATTATGCTCATCAAGTTATATTACTGCCACTTATACGAGGACGGTGAGGTAGCCTAGTGGTCACGCCGAAGACCCGGGTTCGATTCCCCACATGGGTACAATGTGTGAAGCCCATTTCTGGTATCCCCAGTCATGATACTGCTGGAATATTGCTAAACGCGGCGTAAAACTAAACTCACTTACTCAGTTACACAGCAATGCTTTAAGTCTGAAACATATTTTCAATAGACTCTTTCTACACAGAATACATTTCTCTCCTGTGA